TCTCTCTCTCTCTCTCTCTCTCTCTCTCTCTCTCTCTCTCTCTCTCTCTCTCTCACACACACACACACACACACACACACACACACACCAATGAAATAGTCTGGGACAGCCGTGCTTTTTTGTGGAGTTGTGTATAGCAAACATGCCAACACACACGCAGAGGGCTGTTCTGATTACAAAAGAAGAGAACTGCAATGCCAGTGGGGTGTTTAGCTCGACACGAAGCAAAATTTGCAGAATTAAGATTGGTTGGCTACCTCACCGGAGAGAAAGAGGTGTCTTTTCCCATGTGTAAATTACAGTGTAATGACCTGCAAAATTGCAGATTGAGAATTCTGCTGTTTTCTGAGTATTGCTGCGTGTTGGTCTGATTTGCTGAGATTTCCGTGTTGTGCTGAGGTTTGCTGTGTGTAGACTGGGTGCTTGGCGATATCCTGGGAGCTTGCTGTAGTCTGAGTACTGGCTTGTTTGTGTGCGTGTGTGGTCGGCATGGCCCGCGGGCCTGGCATTAACCTGTGGCCGTGTGCGTGTGTGGGTTGCAGTGGGTAGAGTGGGTTGTTATGTACCCGATTGAACATCAATCCACAACGAATTCACACGTTCCCTACACACATGCAATTGCAGCGTAGGCTTGAAGGAGGCAAATCCACACAAAACCGGAGAGAAGATATGCACAGCGGAAGCTCGAAATAGACAGACAATTGAAAAACGAATTTCAATTCTGTAATCCCCGTCCTCCTCCCATCAATCCAAAGTACTTGTTCGAAGAATCACAACCGCGTTTACGACGACCCGGACCAACTAAAAACAAGTGTTCAGCTAAGCATGCAGGAGTCTTCTCCTTCCTCCTTGCCATCCTCGTACCCCTGGCTATGGCTGCCGCAGCAGCAGTAACCCCACAGCTGTCACAACCTGCCAGTCTGAACCAGCAACCCCAATAATAGCAGCGCCAGCTCAGCGTCTGCACGGCAGTGCAGCGCTGAAGTCCTGATGAAGAAGGAGACAACCAATCCAGTACTTCGAAGAAGACAAAAACGAAGTTCCTCTTGAGGAGGAACAGCAGATATGGATGCCAAGTGAA